CCATTAACAGACTTTTTCTGTATGAAAACAGAAAATGTCTGTAAAAATGCTTGTAACTTTACACGCATTTTTTACAGTGTGCAAAAGTCTGCTATGTGTTGGGTTACAGCGCGCACTTGCGTCCTTGACGAGCACAACACCGTGACGTCATCTGCGTAGGCGAGCACTTTAAGCGTACCCGACGCTAGGGACAGCCCACAAATGCTCGCGTCACCGATAATGGCCCTTCACAATGGTTCCGGGTACAATGCGAACAGAATAGGCGACATCGGGCAGCCTTGTCGCACGGATCGCGTAACTGCGATGGGAGCGGTCCTGTTGCCGTTGACCTGGGGCCACCTTGTGATGTCACGGTAGCACAGCTGCACATATCGTAGCAGTCGCACCCCGATCCCACTCTCCTCCATGAGCCGGAAGAGGAATGAATGGCGAACCCGGTCGAAGGCTTTGCTCAGATCTACCTGAAGCACTGCCACAGGACACTTCAACACCTGCGCTGCCTCGCACACGATTGGCATCGCGTGCAGGTTGGTGCTGCTGGTCCGTCCCTTGATGCCGTAGGCCTGATGCTCTCCGACGACGTCCCGTTGACGCCCCTCCAGCCGCTTTGCCAGAATCCTCGCTAGAAGTTTACAGTCGCTTGTTAGCAGATTGATGGGCCGGAAATGGTCGACCTTCGGGGTACCCTTTGAGTTTTTCTTCTGGATGAGCGCCGTTACTGCCGCATGGATGGCGGCAGCAGTCCTCGCTTCAGTACGTCGGCGTACACGTCTCGTAGGATAGGACACAGATGGGCTGAGAACGTCTTGTAGAACTGGCTACCGAGCCCGTCCACTCCTGGCAATTTGCGCGGAGCTAATTCCTTGATGGCTTCCTTGACCTTTGATGCCGTTATTTTCCGGTTTATTTGTTTTCGGACCTTTGAGGATATCTTGGGCAGCTCCACTCCAGTCGTTTTGGAGAACGCCGTCGTCCTCCACTCTCGTGAACAGGTCGGTGTAGGCCTGCAAAAACGCGTCTTCGAATTCTTCTTGCCGGGTAACCTCGACGTCGTCTACTTGGAGCTTCCCGATCTTGTTGCGTGAAGCGTGCTGGCGTTCCTTCGTCTTGAATATTTTGCTTGGCTCTTCATCTCTCTCGAGGAACAGCGTTCTGCTTCGGAACATGGCACCGCGGTACTCCTTCTTGAGAACCTCCAGAATATTGCCCTTGCAATCGCGGATATCTTGACTGAAGAGTCCCGGGGAACGATTTTCCTCTGCGATGAGGATTTCCAGGGTCTTCGTCAACCGGCGCTTTTCCGCCGTTTCGCGAGCCGCTTTTTCCTGGCTGTGACGGAACGCTTTGAGCTTGACGTTTTTCTAAATTCCCCAAGCACCGAGGTGCATGCTACGAGTGTAGTTACACGCGTTGCACGTGCTGGCGTCTGCAGTAGTATTGTTCTAAAGCAAAACGAGTAGAACAAATTGTTCCTTGCACTCGCGTTCGTCAAACCCCTATTATGATTATTTACTTCGAATATTTTATAAGAGGAAGGCCAGCGCGCGCGGACCGTAGAATTACACTTCAAGTGTTCTCCTCGATGCTTGGGTAATTTATAAACAGACCTATTATGTTCCGTTTCATCTTATGCTGTACCGCAGCGAAGGCTAGACGCACGAGCTCATAGCATTAGCAGCTGCCATTAATGTGCGAGAGCTTGTGCCAACGAGATGTGCCCTGAGCAAGGGGCTCGAGCTTGTGCCTTTCCTGCGGTACATCACAGAGTGAAACAGAGTATGGGACTCTGCCTGTGTTTCTGTGCTATCAATACCCGGCCGATTGAGTCAAGGCAATCCGCTTTCCGAAGACGCTGCCATGCCGACAATTATCGCGTTAATTTAGGCTTAGGAAGGCCAGAACCAAAAGACTATCTAAAAAGGCAAAGCGAAAGCCTTCTGCACCTTTCGTTGCTGACTAACGCGCCCGATATTGCAGCTATAACGACATATTAGTTCCCTAGCGAGCGGCGGTCACTCAACTGGGCCTTACCGGGAACGCGACAGAACAGCACACGACAAAACAGCACGCGACAAAACAGCACGGTCAAAACAGCACGCGTCAAAAGAGCACAGCGTCAAAACAGCACAGCGACAAAACAGCAGGCGTCAAAATAGCACGCGACAAAATAGCACAGCGTCAAAACGGCACAGCGACAGAAGAGCACGTGCCAAAACAGCACGGCGTCAAAACAGCACAGCAACAAAACAGCACGCATTTAGCAACTTCAAGCGCGCTCTTCACCTCTCTTTGCGCGAATATTTTCGAACCTCCTTAACCCTTTCATTTATTGTTGCTAGGTTATAAAGGAATTTATTGCCTATTTCATTGCTAAGTCAGTGTCCGGACTGGTGCTGCTGTGTTATTGCTAAAAACAAACGAAGTTAGCAGTAGTTACTACTATTAAGTACGCTGATCTCTGAAGGGATTGGGTAGTTAGAGGTAATATCTTCGCGTCGATGTTGTGCACGTTGTCTGTTCTTTTCCTTTTTTCTTAGAACCAACGAAAGACGAAAAGGTATTGTGAAAAAGAAATCAATAACTTCAAGTTATGAACCGTCTGGTTTGCAGCGGTCCGGTGAGGTTCTGTAGTACTCGTCGTTTTGTAATTACCACCTAAGCGTAGAACGCCCCCTCCCCCCCCCCCTAAAAAGAAAAAAAAAAAAGAGCGGGAGATGCACTGATCACAGATGCATTGATAGAACCGGGAAGATAAGGTAACTTTAATGTCGAGCGAATTCAAGCAACGATTCTGCAGGGTTCATTCGCCGTGAATAAAACGTCCCGGAAACACGCGGCTGCAGCTTCCAGGCGAGAAGTTGCATTGAGTTAAAAACACAGATTATTGTCGACGAAGGCCTCGATCGAGTGGAAACCGGTGAAGCAGAAACATGCCACAGCCTCAATGCTCTTGCCGTACAGCATGAGCTAAGCGCACCGTTGCCGCACACACTTTCTATCTTTTTTTCTTCTTTTTTTTACAACTAACAACAACATATTGCCGCGCGATTGATTCATTTATTGTAGACAACATCACCAGCAACCTTGAGCGTCAATATTAGCAGAACTGCTCGAGAAATAGCCAGAATACGCAACAGCGGTGGCTTGGGTACTGGCCAGGGAGCCTTCATGTGCGCATCGAGTATACTCCCCACTCCCAACTTGCTTCCATGAGAACGGATTCGACAAATTAGCCGTCGACGAGATGACCTTCGAAGAATTGGCCTAGACCCTCCATTTCTTTACAGTGCCTACTTTGAGACATGCATTTTTTTAACTCCATCGCTATATTTAGGGTTCAGCCTATTCGGCTTAAACCGATAAAACCAGTAAAAGTACGACGAAATCTTTTAAAAAAAAATTCGGTTTTAACTGAAAAAGGTTTGTATTCTCCAGGGCGTTTGGAGGGGTGGGTGGGGAATCTGCTTTATTACTGACCGTATGAGCACTTCCTTCCGCAGTTTTAAGCCTGTCTTCGGGATCAGTTCAATTTTCAAGAAAAGTTGAACCGACGCAATGGTCTTCAGGACGAAATGTGTTTTTTTTCACCTGATAGGGATTTGTGTGCCGAATTCTTTGTTCAAATAATAGAGTTTAATCGTGAACTGAACAATAAAATTAAAGGGCATCCATAAATTCCGCCCATTTTTTAACACCCCTAGCTTCCGTCTACTAGAGGAGGGCATAAATAAGATTATTTTATTGCCGTTTCTTGGACTGCGCGAATCAAGCACCTCTCGCAGTCATGAAAATGGGGGAAAGACGCACTGAGTACAATGCTTGCAAATTTTTTAATTTTTATATTTGCTTCTCCGACGAAAATGGTAGTAAAGCTCATGTTCGAGGCTGCGCACAAATACGAGCCCACGACGTTATAATGTCAGATCACGGTAGGGCCCTAGTGCGCCTTGCAGAACAGGTCCCGTCGGCTGCCACAGACAGCAACAAATAAGAAATCCAGTACGTGGTTTAATCACTATTCATTTTAAACAAACGCCTTTAAATATTGCATTTTCGTCAGTATACTAGTTTTCGTCAATAAACCGAAAAGAACTGAAAAGTTTATGAGTCTCCAAATATACTCAGCAATAAACCGAAAACTTCTGCTTGAAATAAAAACCGAAAAGTGTACGCCGAATTAAAAAAAAAATTAAAACCGAAGCCAAACCTTAGCTCTATTGTGAATGTCCTGTTTTGACGCTGTGCTGTTCTGACGCTGTGCTGTTTTGACGCCGTGCTGTTTTGGCACGTGCTCTTCTGTCGCTGTGCCGTTTTGACGCTGGGCTGTTTTGTCGCGTGCTATTTTGACGCGTGCGGTTTTGTCGTCGTGCTGTTTTGACGCTGTGCTTTTTTGACGCGTGCTGTTTTGACCGTGCTGTTTTGTCGCGTGCTGTTTTTTCGTGTGCCGTTCTGTCATGGTGCCGGGCATTACCATGTTTTCCCGCATTCTTACGAGCCAGTCACGTAATTTCAAAATCCCCCTCATAGGTACTGCAGCTAACTTTAGCCGCGGTAAGTGTTTCGAACAAACGGTCCCATGATGGCTAAATCGTCGTCAACCTACGCATAAGCTTTTTTTTTTTTGTGTGTGTGTGGGTTAGGTTTTTTTTTTAAAGTGTTTTTGTGGCTCAAGTTTTGTGGCTCAAGAACATTACAAATATTGGGACTTCAAACCGTTTTGCGGTCACTGCTGGTGTGTTTTTTATGCTCTAATTATTATCCACTAAAGGCATTTAAATTAATGAAAAAAGACCGCAAACAGAATGTGTACCTGATACTTGAAGCTCACTATCATCGTCGCCGATGAATGAAAACGCAGGGAGGTTTGCACGAGCTCACGCGAGGGCTCGTTCTTCGCGTCCAGACTGTCTCGACGACCCCCGTTCCATCGGCTGCATTCTACGAATACTTGGTGAAATAGAAGGTAGCGTTAAAGCCGGGGAAGTTCCCCTTCCAAAAGAATGGCGAGCCTGAAGGCCAACAAGCTGGCCAAGCCAAACACCGGGTTGGCCAAAATCCGCAGCGCGACGCTAAACGTTCCTTCCAATGAAGAGGAAATCCACGTCTACGGCTATGGCCAGTTCCAGAGGATGGTGCTGCTCTGCTCTATCGTCTCGTTCTTTATGAATGTAGTCCACAGCCAGACGCTCCACCTCATGTCGCGTCCTGTGGCCCATTGGTGCAAGCCCCCCGACGAGTACGCCGGCTTGTCCGCGGACGAGTGGAAGAACACGAGCATCCCCATGGACGTGGACGGACGATTCAGCAGCTGCAGCCGCTACGAACCGCCCATGCCAACGCCCGCGGACAACAAGACCGAGGTCAGCTGCGACCGCTGGGACTACGACAGCGAGGTTGGCGCCACTATCGTGAGGGATTTCAGCCTCGTCTGCGACAGAAAGTGGCTGCTCCGGGCGCTCCGGTTCGTGTACTCACTCGGCGGATCGGTGCTCCTGCCAATGATGGGCTCAGCAGCCGACAAGTACGGGCGCAGGGCAGTCCTCGGCCTAACGCTGTTCGGCCTGGTCTTGTCCGGCGTGGTCACGTCTCTGGTGAAGACACTGCTCGAATTTGCGGTGCTGCAGCTTCTCACGTCTGCATCAATCACCACGTTTCAGGTTGGTGACGGGGTGCGCGGTTCCGTTCTTAGAAAATAATATTATAACATTTTTATTTCAATCGATCAAGGCAGCTGAACAGTACAGCGCACAAAAAGACAAAGATATATTGCTTCCCGGTATTTTGGCTTATATCGTTTGAATTTGATGACAAGGACAAAGAAAAGAAACATGCACGACACGCAAGCGCTGAATGGCAACTAAATTTATACAGAAAAGGAAGAAGAGAACGTACTGAAAGTTACGCTATGCCAGAGCGTCGTACACACCACGCAACACCATCTAACTAATATGTCTTCGCTACATATTCCTATATAAACACAAGGTTTCTGGTTGTAGAAGAATGACAGATGGGTTTCTTATGCCACCGTCCCCCAAAACTATTATTAAAATGCGCTTCCGAAAAATTCGTGACTTGTTTTGTTTAAACAAATTGTCGTTCCGTTTAAGGGGCTATGCAATAGTATTGACTTGGTAAGAGTTTGCAGTTTTTACTTTTTTACAACGTTTATCTTGCAAAAATGAGGCGGAAAAACCACCTCATTTTTTAAAATACCCTAGTCTCGCGATAATTCAGACTAGGCTATGTCGTACATCCGGTTAACTCAAACAAATTCTAAAATTTGGGTTGTCCCGTTGTTTTTAATGCATTCATGAGCGCTTAATTGGAACGTTGTTTTCGTTTAATTCATACTTTTTATTCCCGCGACACCGCTGAGTGGTCTTATTTCCGAGCACGGCTGCACTGCAGAGGGACAACGTGCACAACGCGTATGTGCGGGGATGTTTTTTTTCTTCACAGTACACAGGTGCTCAGTAAGAAGCGCACTCAACGGGGCTCAAGGAGGACACCCACGAGCTAAGAAAAAGAGCACCAGGCAGAAATTCACATGGCAACTTGCGCGGTCGTTGTGACCCGGCAGCACGGAATAGTTTCACGTTACGGTGGAAGCGCAAGTTGCACTAAAAACTGCCACTCGGTGCCTATGTTCATCGGTCATGTGTCCTTTGCTTAAAGGGATACTGAACCAAAGAATTCAGTGTCCATAATCAGTGGCGCACGTTCTTTCCACGCGCCAGCAGCCGCCGGTCTGCGCGAGAACACACAGCGAAAATGACGTCAAAGACCTTCATTCGCGCTGAAAAGGACAGTGAAAGGCATGGGCTTCGGGCCAAAGGAGAATAGAGACAGGCTTTTTATTTCCACAAGCGAAAGCTACGCGCTTGTTGGACCAATTAATCGCTTACATTTCACGCCAGACCCCACTGTGTAGATAAAAGACTTGACGCTATTCCCCTTTGACCCGAAGCCCGTACATTTCACTGTCATCTTAACATCGAATGGAAATCTTTGACGTCATTTCTGTTGCGTGTGCTCGCGCACACCGGTGGCTGCCGGCTCGTGAAAAGAAGGTGCGCTACATATTATGGACACTAAATTCCTTGGTTCAGTATCTCTTTAATACTCCAAACTATACAACTTGTTGGCCGGATGAACAAACCAAAATTTCGTTTTCAGTTGTCATGCGTTGTCTAAATAACCCACTATGAACAACATATTTGAGAGATAAATAAACTTATATCAAACATTTCACACTTATTTTATGTCTGGCATACCTGCTCATGATCAGTAGGCCTATGTAGAGGAAATCATCAATTGTTTTGTATGTGAAGCCATTCGTAAGTCAAATTATAATAGTAGCTAGAAAAATATTTAAATAAACTTCTGTCAAATCAAACAAAATTTGTGGCTTCCTGGAGTTTAAATTAATGAGAATTTACTGTATCTCAATTACGTAGCGCAATATCAAAGGAAACAACAGGAATATTGCGCTATTTGCAGCCGCGTGGTGGCGGCAACGGAAAATAAGGCGTGATGCACACATGGGTGCAATGTAATAAGGTAGCAAGATGTGTCATAATGTGCTCAATCAAATGCTATATATTATAAATATTCTCCTTTCAATATGTGTAAATGCATTAATAACTTTATATCATCGACAAAGCCGTACAATATTCAGTTTTAGTGACGGAATTTGCCCTGAGGTGAAAAACAAAAACTATTCCTCCCTTAAGGATTTCTATTCCTCTTGACTCTTCCTTTGACTATTCCTCCCCTTGCTACTATGGCAGTCGAACTTCCTTCCGAAAAAGCAAGCTCTTCACCTCCTCCCCCCTCCCTCCTTTCTCCCCCTCTCCACACCGCTCAGACCAACCTTCGAGGTCACCATGTGAATCGCAAGCAAACGACGCGCGAACTGGAGGCTCCGGAAAAGAACCTAAAGGGGATTCTCCGTGTCCTCACTCCACCCGGAAATACGTCACTGAGCACGTGCCTCGGAAGACGATGGAAGAGTTGAGGGTGGTTTGGAGACGCCAAAAGCGTCAATTGTATGAATTTTCTGTTTTCAAGAATGAACGCACGAATCCAGACATGACAGGGAACAACTACCACAATTATTCGACCGAAATATTCGGTCAAATAATTGTTGTAGTTGTTCCCTGTCATGTCCAGATTTAATAAAAAATTTGCCTTCGCCCGTTAGTTCTTAAAAACAGATAATTCAAACAAGTGACGCAACACGTTCTATGCGAGTTAACTAAAACTAAAAACGTCAAGGATTACTTCTCACTAGTGTTCAGCGTTAGGACATGAATATTGTGAAGGTTTTTTTTTTAATTTTTCTCACCTGTAAAGCGGCATGAGAAGGCAACCGTAGCGCAGGCTCGAATGGTATTCATGTCTCGCACTTGATGTCATCAAACCATACCAATAGTCATTCCTTGTTGTTCTTGCCAAGAAAAGCAAATTCGGTTTTGCTAAATTTTGCGGTGCACAAGGTACACGCGCAGCAGTGCAAGTCATGTTTACCACTGGGACATGTGACACGCTCGTCCTTATCACTGGCTGAACGGGTTCAAGGATGACTCAGAAGGTAGCTTCCCGAAAACTCCCGCAAGGCCTCTCGTCGTTCCCTTATTGCATCGCGCGTCAATCCCGAACGTACCTTTCCGATGTGCGTTCGGGCCGGCTCGAGCGTTTTTTACGTCCTGAAAGGAGCGTAATTTTTTAGCTTACCACTGGGAGATTAAAACAGACATAAAAACACTAACAGATCGAAAAGCTGAAACGTACCCTAATTTGTTATCGTCTTGTTTTTTCTCGTTTTTGTTTTTGTGTTTTGAAATCGCAAAATGGTCAACCAGCATGAACCCATCTTTCTATTCAGTTGTTCTTTTTCACGCTCCGTACATCGAATTGCCATAGTACGTCGAAAATACGATGAGAGGCGCTGCGTATTTTTAGAAGAGTCTATTGGTATGTTGAGAGCATCGAAGTGCCGAACCTCAGGAACGTTGAAGAGCTTCCGACACCGTGCCCGTATCCCCCCAGGCTATCAGCACCGTGCTGCTCTTCGAGGTGACTCCGAAAGACCACCGGATGCTCTTCTGCATGCTTAACATCTGCATACCCCTGGTGCTCGGTACGGTGGTGCTCGGCCTTGTAGGCACGAGCTCGATGCACTGGACGGCAATGCAGCTTGTTGTGATATCACCCACCCTACTGCTGCTGCTGACCTACCACCAAACGGATGAGTCTCCGCGCTGGCTGATCACTTCGTGGAAGTTCAAGGATGCCGAGCGGGTTATCCTCTGGGCGGCTAGGAAGAACGGACTCCGGAACCTGGACAGGGTACGCTCAGCGTACTTTAGGGTCAAGGAGAGCGCCGTCTCGCGTGAAGGGTTCACCACCAGGCCCACCATCTTCAACATCGTTAGCTCGCCCCGGTTGCGTTCCCAATCGCTCATCGTTTTTGGTGGTTGGTGGGTCATCTTCAACTGCTACTACACCATAGCTCAATACAAATCTTTCGGAGGCGGTGCCGTCTCCTTCTACATAATGATCGGGATCGCCAACATGTTCATTCAGGCCGTCAACTACTTTGTCCTGAGGGGCTACGGGCGCCGAAAGCCGATGTCGGCCTACATGCTGGGGCTGTCGGTGCTGCTGACGTCACTGGTGGCATTGGTGGCTCTGGGGATGGAGCTGGCGTTCGCGAAAGTCGCGGTCCCGACCGCCTTCCTGGTGGAAGTGGCGTTCACAACCATGTTTGTGTTCACCGTCGAACTCTATCCGACAGCGGTGCGCAGCGCTGGCGTGTGCGGCGCTTTCCTGTTCGGGCGCCTAGGCAGCGTCTCAGCGTCGCTTTTTAGCGACCTGCGACTCCTGGGTCCACCGATGGACAGGTTGATTCCCATGCTCGTCAACGCGGTCGTGTTCTTTACATTAGGTTTGCTGGTCCTCTCGTTGCCAGAGACGTTGGCGATGAGTGAAACCGACAAGGGCCAACAGGCTGGGCAAGAGGACAAGTGGAGATTCGACTCGCCGCTGAAGCGGAAGAAGAAGAGCAGACAAGTTCCCAGAAAACCCATCGCTCGAAAACTTGACCGATAGGCACTCCAGCAAGTCCCCGGGGTGTTTGGAACGCCGGGATATGCTCAGAAAACTAGTCGTTGCTCTTCCCTTAACCAGTTCAATCAAAATGAATGAGGAGCGGTATCGGTCCAACTGGTCGCACTGACTCAGTGGCAAAGAGGCGTAGGATTTTTTCCGCCACTAAAAGTGCCTGAAAATGGAAGCCCGACAAAGACCGTCCTTTTCATTGTCTGAACGGATTAAAGGAAGACCAGCGACTGGCGTTCCGAGCTCAGTGCGGGGCATGATACATTTAAAGGGGCATTCACACGGGGGATTATTTTCGAAGACGGATGTGTGTTACGTCAGTGTTTGGTGGACACGAAGCGACTCGCTGCTCGACTTAAGCAGTTACAGGAACGGCGGGGAGCCAACATGTGCGTCTGTGTTATCGGACGCATTTAGCGGTCGTACTTTCCACAACAGGGCTCGGTGCTCGATGGACGAGGGTATAAAAATGGATGCGTACATGAAATGGCGATAGGGGATTGCAGCAGTAGCGCTGTTATATCCAGAAGGCGACGAAGTGCTTCCTACAAAAACAATAATGCTTCTTGAAAGGGCGAAAGCAAAACACAAAGGATGTAAAATCAGAAACGAGTTGTATGAGGAGCGGCTTGAGGGCGGCATTCGTGAATATCTAATACTCCATTCAAACGATGATAAAGATACTTTTATCTAAGGTACCTTTATTCTATGCGGTGAATCAATTCACAATTTTTCCCGTGTCACAACATCACGCTTTTCTGCTGAGCCGCGTGACGTAGACATTCCAGGGGGATGGAGGAGAATTAGTTCGGGCTGCACAAACACCACCCGCCTTTCGCGGGATCTCTTTGCAACATGCGGTATTTCGTTCACGTGCCAGTCAACCTTAAATACTTTCCTTAGCAAGATTCCGACGGTGCCATCGTGATGGCAAAATTCATTTTTGCTTGCGCTGTTACGAATGTCGTCTGAGGCACCCACAGGAGTTTAATACCCCATTCGAACGGGCAGCATAAAGGTACATTTAACACAGGTCCCTTTGCAATCGGCGAATCAGTCCGCCGTCTTTGGTAGCGAGTACACGCCAGGGGCGAAGGATTCACCGCATAGAATAAATGTTCCTTAGCTAAAGGCACCTTTATCATCCTGTGAATAGGGTATTAGATATTCACGAATGCCGTCCTCAAGCTGCTACTCATACAACCTGTTTTTAATGCGAAAGCATTTACTGTCTCACGGAGCAAGCTGAGGTCATCAGTTTGAAGCGCGAAAACGGCTCCTGGTTTCCGGCGCCTTCGGTTCCATTGGCTGGCGCGCGTCGATGGGGCTCCCATTGGCCGCTGCTCCATGGCCTCCGAGATCCCGAAGGGCGCGCGCGTTAGTACGCAGCAGCTTTTTATTCTAGATCCTTTCTGTTTTGCATTCACCCTTTCAAGAAGCATCTTTGTTTTAGCAGGAAGTAGTACGTTGCCTTCTAGACATAACCGCGCCACTGCTACCGAACAAATGCTTCCCCTGGGATGTCTTCGTCGCGCGGCTCCGCCCGAAAGAGTGTGGTGTTACCCAGGGACGCGCCTCCCGAGAAGCAAAAGAAGCAACTACTCCCGTGTGTGAATGCCCCATAAGGGTCGTGTAAGCGCCTGTGAAGACCGGACATATTCGCTTATAGATTCCTAATCTTTCAAAAATATATAGTGCGAAACTTTATTTCCCTTTTATAACGATAAATTGAGTACGTTACTATAGACCACATTTTTGTCTTCATTTTTAAATTAAAATCTTTATCATGAATCGGGCGGCCTAGGTTATTGGCGCGGTAGGTACAGCGTTCCTTTGCTTTCCCATAACGCCAATGTCCGTCAATCGCCTATACTTGTGGATACGTGCCTGCAACGTAATTTTATTTGCCTATTTTGCTGCGTAGACACATAACGATACTAGTATTAAGACGCGGTAATGGCCTAGGAGCACTAGACGACTTCGTCGCAATCCAGGCCCGTGCCCCCCGCGCGGTTCAAACATCCAAAAGTTCTGCACGTGCAAAGCGAGGTCGTCTACTCATCCTCAGATACTTCGGAGAGTTAGCTTTTGTTCTAGTTGTTCGAATAGATTGAGATTTTACATTGAGAAGCTGAGGAAGAGGAGCAGATGAGAGGTCCTTCAGGGAAGGGCGCCACCAAAGCGCCGACGGGAGGGCGCGAGAGGAAAGCGCCGCGAAACGGGAGCGCACGACAGCAGAGAGCCTCGACACTAGAACCCGCCTCCCGAGAGTGCTTGTGCACGCCTGGTTTTCTCGGATCTTTACGTGTTTTTATTCGTTGAGGACGCGGACCCGTAGGACCTCTCAAAGATACAATTGTACGGCAAAACGTGGTACAATCAAAGCAAATAATTCTGCGGACATATCCGTTGCATTCACCGGACACACAGAAAAATAAAACAAAAAGGAACAAGGCCATATTTCGTGATACTTTTTGGTCCAGCTAAAAACGAGTCTTTTTCTGTAATTTTTCTTCGGGACTTCAAAGTATCCCAATTTCTCGCCTCGCTCTTGTGTTTCCACATTATGATTAACAATCACCAGCTCGCCTCGACATTAACTGTTTTGTGCGGATAAAGTTTGCCACTGAAAAACGTATCGCAGTTCATGGAAACGTGAACCACTAGCCCTTTTTCTCTTCCTGCTTATCTCCGAACAAAGGGCTGCTGCTTTTTACAGGTTCGAAAATCACTTTGGACAAAAATGGGGAGACGACCTCTTCGTCGCACAAAATCTGAACGAAGGAAATAGAAGCATTGGAAAGGACAACATTTGTGTTCCTTCATTGGAAAGCGTGTTAAACGTTAAGGTTTAACCCGAATTTTCTAATGACGCACGCGCGAACTTCCGGGACGCGATTCTAGAGATGCCGTAAAAGAGGTTTCAACTTCCATGTAGGTCGGCCTTTGTTCATACGTAACGGACGGCAACCTGTCCACCAAGAACACCGATCGTTATTGGGGGCAAATCTTCCAAGGTTGGGTCAACCGTCAACCGTGGGTGTAAAAGCGAATATAAAAGGGCAGTTGGGAACTGCGGCCGTTCCTAACGACGAAGTAGGATCTTCCAACGAAGTGCTGTTCAGGACGATGAAATGCTATCAATCATGAAATCTAAGAAAAATCATCCGTTTTTGCAACACAATGGTTATTCCTATTGCCTGGATAGATTGAGCGAGAGCACACGACGGAGGACATGGAGGTGCTTCAAGAAAAGCTGCATCAGTCGAGCCACAAGGTTGGGACAGTGCACTGACCCTCGTCAAGGTTAACAACTGATTATTGTACCATAAAAACGAACTTCTTTCTCTCTGTAGAATTTAGCATTTGTTAGAACTCGATTACACGATTGAGCTTTTACGTACGTTATTGCACTAGGCTAGCACCGAGTCGCCTTCAGTGTGCCATTTTTTATGATATCAGTTGCGCAGACCTCCGACGAGCACCAGGGTCACCTGGCGAATCCTGATGTCTGTCAAGGAGAGGAGGAGATAGCTGCGGTCTTCATTATGAGTTTACGAAAATAGCATTTTTAGACTTCCCAAAGGTCTGCGTACTACCCAATAAAATGGCGTAAAGCGTTCGATCCGAGAAAACAAGGCACGACATGCGCTCTCGTAACGCGCGCTTTAATGGCGCGCGCTCTCGTGTCGTGCACTCTATAGGGAGTATTCACTGGCGGCCATATCCGTGTGTGCTGCTGCCGAGCGCTTGCTGACGGCGAGCTTCCGCAGTCCTTTTGGAGCGTGCATTTAGCACCATCAAGGTTGCCGGCCTTAGCAGGCTATTAATGTGAGCTCGTTCTGAGCATGCGCTGTAAACAGCACCCACAAATATGGCGTCCAGTGAATACCTCCTATACTATCTTTCACCTTATGATGTACCACAGGAAAGGCTACAAGCGCGAGTTCCTTGCTCTAAGGCACATCTCGGCGCCACAAGCTCTCTTGCATTAAGAGTAGCTCCCAACGCTATGAGCTCGCGCTTCTAGCCTCTTCTCCGGTACATCAGATGAAAACGGGGTATAGCTTCGTACAGCCGTCCTTCAAACATCCGAATCCTGATTGGAATTGATTGGTGTGAGGCAAACACTAGCTGCCCACATTCGAACTGGGAGTAGAGGCAAAGCTACAGCTTTAATTCTACCCACAATCATTCCATTACAGTCGCCTAGAATGGGGTAGCGGGCTCAGAGCACCCGCTTGCTGAGGCAGGTCGTGACTAAATCAACAGGCGGCGTTCCCGTCGACTCCTCCTGAGGCTTTCCTGCGAGCTTCTGCGATCGCGTGCGTATCAGCGTGTGTGTGTGTGTCTGTGTTTTTAGAGCGCTGCTCTTAGGAGCCCGTTTCCGGCCTGAGCGGCGTCGGCGTCGCCGTCGCCGTCGGCGTAACCGCGCGGTGCATTATGGGTACATTTTCCCGAAGGACCTCGGGTTCCTTCGGGAGGACTTCGAAGGACCTCGGGTTCCCTCGGGAGGACCCCAGGAGGACCTCGGGTTCCTTCGGGAAGACCTGGGGTTCCTTCGGGAGGACCTCGGGAGGACATCGGGTTCCTTCGGGAGGACCTCGGGAACCTTCGGCGACCTTGGGGAGGGGAGTCACGTGACCCCCAAGGCCACGTGAGCCCCCAGGTCACGTGACGCCTGCCTTAGGTCACGTGACCCCCCTCCGAGGTCACGTGACCTGGGGGCTCACGTGACCTCGGAGCCCCCAGGTCCTTCGGGAGGAACCCGAGGAATCCTTGGGGGTCACGTGACCACCAAGGTCACGTGACACCTCCCCAGGTCACGTGACCCCCCCGACGTCACGTGTCCCCCGGTCACGTGACACCCCCCGACGTCACGACCTCCCCGAGGTCATGTGACCCCAAGGTCACATTACTCCCCCCCCGAGGTCACGTGACCCCTCCGCCCCGAGAACACGTGACCCTCAGTACCCTTCCCTCCTTCTCCT